CGGAAATCAGCGAGACGTCGCGGGATTTTCGAGGATTCATATACCTTCTTATGATGGATCGGTTACGCAACAAGTGCGCGACAGGGAGGGCGCAGTGGACTTGGAAATTTCCAGGATTGCGTCTCCGGCAGGTTCGACCCGGCCGAGGTTCGAATCAGTGCAGTTTGAAGAATTGGTCGCTGCAAACAAGAAGTTGCGAGAAGAATTGCAACTCGCAATGGACATGCAAGTAAAGTATGAAGCTTTCGTCAAGGAAGTGATGTTTCGTAAGGAAAGAGAGCTCGTCGAGACAAAACAGGAAATCTCTGTCCTTAGGGAAGAAAATAAAAAAATGTTCGAGGAAATGATGCAACGGTTCAGATTAAATGAATCAGGAGCAGTTCAATACCTTCCGATCAAGGAACCAAGAGGGGCTGATGCAACATGCAAGCAAAATGATACGAGCATGTCGAACGACATGTCAAGTCAGCATGTCAAGCAGGAGTCTTCCCTTGTGAAGTTTCATTCCAAGGATATTTCTCGATTTAATGGAGAAATGACTCTAGAATATTCCGTTGCAAGTTGGTTTGGGGAGCTTGAGTTTCAATTCCAGCGTCAAAGAATCCCTCCAGATCAAAAGGTTGACAATGCTGCAACATTAGTTGGTAATCGTGTGAGGAATTGGTTGCAAACATTGCGTGGCGAGGATAGATTAATTTCCACACAAGGTACTTGGGAATCATTCAAATCGTTGCTGGTGAAGGAGTATTTGTCGTTGTCGCACTTGCAGTATATTTTGGGTGAGATTCAATGTACGATACAAGGGTCAGAGGAAAAGACTTCGGATTTTGTCAACAGGTTTTCAGCTTTAGCAAATCATTTTATTGCTTGTGGCATGGTATTATTTCATGGACAAGGACAAGTCGAGACAGCTTGCACGAGGTTTGGTCTTGAACGGTATTTTGCACAGAATTTGTTCAATGAGGTGACCGCGAGTTTCGTCATGAGGTTGTTGATTGACTTGGAAAAGCAAAATGTGAACAAGACTTTGAGTATCGGGAGTTTGTTGCCAGCATTGTATCGAGAAGCTAAGTCCATGGATTTGACAACCGATGCGTATAGGAATGACAGGTCAACGCATCATGAGGTTTCGTACGATGATGAGTCAGTGGAGGATACCGACGAAGATT